CATTCAGATACAAGCTAGTGTTATACCCACGCTAACTTTGTGGGGGCTTTTTTTTATTTATTTATCATCATTCATTACTTTGATAAAATGATATTATCTATTTAAGAAAATAAAAAACAATTCTTTTTATTTTGACTTTTCTGGAATGAAAGTCTCAGATACTTTTCTTCTTTGATCATTGTCCTTTTCTCTAGCAATCTTCTTGTTTATTTGTCCCATACCCAAAATCTTAGACAAAACTACTTAAATTAGTGGGACTCGAACTTATATACTTTGTCTTACAAAATGAAAAATATTGGAAAGTACAGTTGTCAACTTTCTCTTCTATAGCTCTCTTCTCTAATTTGGATAGACTCAACTTTATTTCCTCAACATGTAAAGCCAAATGTGGGAAATTAAAGAATCACAAAGAGTAATACTCAATACAATAATAAAGTAAGTAAATTTTTTTTTTCAAAAAAAAAACAACAAAGGAATTAATATGAGATATTTATCTTATTTCTAAACTATCCAACATCTGCAAAACATTCCTTTACTTAGATCAGACGATCAACTAAAAGGAGGCAAGAGCAACGCATTTTTATGAAAAGGTTCATTTTTCTCAGCTTCTTTTTTCCTTTTAATCTTTTAGAAGAGCAATTGCTCAATGAGAATTACAAACAAATAAGCAACAAAGAGGAAAAGTTGCAAATAAAGAAGCAACAGAAGAGAAAAATTATAAACAAACAAAAGGGATATGTTTATGTACCCATAACAAAAGGATGCACATATAAATGGATAAAATACTTTCATAGAATGGAGTGTAGGCATAAACTCTGCAAGAAAAGTGAAGTTGGAAGTATAAGAAAAGCTCAATCGATCTTTGCAACTGAATCTCGGGTTTTCAAAAAATTGATTAAAGATAAAATGCATAGAAAAGGGGAGAGAAAACATAAAGAAGTTTTAAATGGACAACAAATACAACGAAAACATAGAAAAAAATAAAATAAATATTCAATAAGACACAAATAGAAAAATTAAAATAAATATTTAATGGAAAAATGTACTCATGCCTAATTGATTTCATGCTACTTCCACACCTTTGTTGTAAAAAATCAAAATAAAAGGCTATGCATTGTTAGAAATCAAAAGTATTGATGAAATGATCTATCTACGTTGTCTTTGAAGCCTTTGCCAACGACCACAGTACCTAAAAAATATAAAGAAATATTTTAGCCAAAAATTAGAAGATGATGAAGGAAGAAAATAATCTCACATAAATCACTTAAAATGAATATATAGTTTCAACCATGATGAATGTTGTATGCTGTCATTGAGAAAGGGTTCATGCCATTGGGATAAATGTGAAAAATCATAATTTGTAGAGAAGAAAAATTTAGAGATGAAATTACCCTAGAGAGGTGGGTGAATAGGGTATATGTTAATCTAATCCGGTATTAATGCCAATTTAAAACATTTTAATAATTATATCCTAGCAAGATTGATATTCAACAAAATATGAGCAAGGATGTGTAATTAAACAAGCGTGAAATAAACATGGACAAATATGCAAATGAGATAGTGATCAAAAGACAATCGCAAACACGCAAAGTGATCACGGAGTTCGGTCACTCCCGACCTACGTCTCCGCTCCCCACTCTCGAGGAGAATCTCCACCATCTCAACTGGTTTTTAATGTTCACCGAAAACGTTTACAACTCACACAATCGATTTTCTAGCTCACCGAAAACTTCACAACTCACAATTATAATCACACAATACACTCTCTAAGTGTTGGACTAGCCTCAACTTCCTCAAGTGTTTGGATTTACCACCTCTCCCTAAGTTTTACTACCAACGCCACTCCTCTTGGAATTAACATCGTCTCTCACCACACACTCCTCTCGGTGTCCTTGTGTATTACAATGTGTTCTCATAAATTTAGCATAAGTACAAGGGTTTGTTCTCTTTAATGGATGAGAACTCAATGTAATCTCACTCTCAATGATACACTCACCACAACCCAAATTATACTTAATGTGATAATACTAAAGCTCAAGAGATGTGTGTGTAAACAATGAGAAAAATAAAATGCAAACTCAATATAAAATCTAGCTTAATGAAATTGATAAACAACAACAAATTTATATAAAGCTAGAGATGAGTTTAGCGTAAACTTCTCTGAAATTCAAGAGAGAGAGAGAGAGATGAGATTGAAGCCCAAACACGAAAAGAATAATCTCCTCCTCTTGTGAAAACTTCTTCACAAAAGAAACTTAAAAACTCTTGTAAACTCTTACACGAACTTGTCCAAAACTTGATTAAAACTCTTTCTTTGATATATGTAAGAGTTGAGGATAGAGGGGAATATATAGGTACTTAATACAACAGTCCAAAAGCTAAAAAAACAGAGAAAACCCCCTCAAAAATCGGATCTGGAAAAAAACTAGCCGTTATACAACGACTTACTGATCAGTCGATTGAACAGTGTTTTCAGTCGATTGATGCACTGTTCAGTCTACTGATAACGTGCAAGACACATTCTGAATTTTTTGCATAGCTAGATTTCTTAAATTAATTAAAAATAGTAAATCAACTTAAAAAATAGTGAAAATTTAAGAAAAGTTTCTAAACATGTAGATTATAAACATGTTAGAGAAAGAAATTCTAAAATATCACTTCGCATTTCTGAGAAATAATTATTTTAAGACAGATATTTCAGATTCTAAAAACTGATGAAACACTTGATTTTGTAAAATCAATTTAACATAGTAAATCAACTCCAAAAATAGTAAAACTTTGAAAAATGTTTATAAACATGTAATAGAACATGTTAGAAAAATAATTTCTTAATTTTAATTTTCCATTTATGAAAACTCATTTATTTTGTAAACTATTCAAGAATACGAAAACGTTAAAACTTGATTTTGATGTATTCATTCCAAACAAGTTTTAAAACACTTTTCAATAGATTAATAGACTTGAGGAAAGATATAAAATAGTATAAACAAATCTTTAATCCATAAACATATATTTTCCCAAATAAAATCGATAAGTAAGAAACTCATATATATGTATATGAATAGAACTATTAGTTTCATATTTGTATGATTAAACTTTAAACTTGAAAGCTATAAAATAAAAACGTGTTTGTGTGTAATAATTGAGCTTTAAAATATAACACACACGGTATAAGACCTAAACTAGAAACAATATACCCAAGTTAAGAGATCTTCGATATGTTTGTCTTGGTTGCGAATGAAGCTTTAACTTATACTTGACTTGAAATGCAAAACTTCATTCTGATATTTCTTCCATCCTCCAATGAACATGATCGTGTAGGCACAAATCCATCCAACCTCCAACATAGGATCTTTATGTAGGATACCTAACAATCAAATATAAACATTCGACAAAAATTGTTAGGAATTGTTTGATAATCATCAAAACTAGATTAGATAGTAGGCTCATAAACATGAGACCTAACAAGAGAGTCAATAGAAGTAAGTTAAGGTAAAGAATTGAAAGGACTACAATTGAAATCATATGATAATTTTTAATTCACAAGAACATGCGGTTGGATTGTTGTTGGGAGATAGAAAGAAGCGTTTCTCTCAAAGATTAGTTATTAAATTATTTACTAGTTATTTATTATTACATGGAAGTTAATTAGATTAGATTAGTGGATTATGTGTAGAGAAAGGTTATGTGTAGAGAAGAAGCCGAAGAGTTTCTCTAAAACACAAAAATCTAACAAAACATAAGAGAATAAATAGCGAAAATAACCACAAGTTGCCAAGTGTCAATATAAGGTCTTACTTTAATAAATAGTACGCATGTTCTAAAATTTTGACACATGTTAAATGCTCTAGAATTTTAACACGTGGCATTTCAGTATATTACTTTAGCATATTGTATTGATTGATGTTCGCTATTAAAATATTATTTATGAAGTCTACTGAATGATGAGAAGTTAATAGCGAGGTGTAGAGTTCATCTTGTGGAGAAATCAGAAAAACCAGATTTTCTGGCATAAGTCGACTCATGCACAAGGCTAAGTCGACTTAACCAGATTTTCTGGCATAAGTCGACTCATGCACAAGGCTAAGTCGACTTATGGTAAGTCGACTTGTCAGTAGTGCACGAGTCGACTTACTAAGTCGACTTATGGTAAGTCGACTTGTCAGTAGTGCACGAGTCGACTTACGATCTGCACTGGAGTTATGTTTTTTCGCTCTACCAAGTCGACTTATCAAACCTGATAAGTCGACTTATGAAGTGATCTCCAGTTGCTGTTTTTTCTCTCTGCCAAGTCGACTTGTGGTGACTGTTAAGTCGACTTACGACGGGAATTTTGCATAATCAGGTTTCTTGTTTGCACTCTGATTGGGTTTTTGTTTTGATATAAATAGGGAAACGATTTGTTAGGGTTTTTTTAATCAAAGATTGAGGAATATTTTGAGCATTGTGAGAGGGAGATATTGTGAGCAAGGTGAGATCTTTGGTTGAGGGTTAGTTTGAGAGTTTTGTGTGATTGTAACCCTTTGTACTCTCCTTGAATTAGTGAAATCTCACCATCCTCTCCTCGTGGACATAGGCAAGTTGCCGAACCACGTATATCTCTGTGTTTGGTTTGATTTGTCGTAATTGGCTTGATTGTGCAAGAGTGTGGCTTTCTTCTTCCGTGATCTCAAGTTCGTTGTGTGTACGTGCAACGCTTCCGCATAGGCACACGACAAGTGGTATCAGAGCTCAGATTTCAGATATGGGGTTTTGGATTAGGTGGAGGAAGATTCAGTTGGAAGCTTGGTTCTTGGAGTTCTAGGCTTTGGTGGAGTTAGGGTTTGAAGTTGCCGTTGAAGATCTCGCTTTCCTCGTGTGGTTAGGAGTTCTATTTGGAATCCAATCTAGGGTTCAGTTGGGTTATTTCTTATTCTTTCAAAGTTTGGATCTTTCTCTACAATTTGAAATTTGTGATTATGGGTGAAGAAGTTGGTGAAAGCAGCAAGATGATAGCAGGCACAGTTCAAGTGGGTTTTCAGAACACTAAGATTAGTATAGTGAAATATGACGGCAAGATCAATTTTGGTTTGTGGATGAGCGACGTACAGGATGCGCTCAATACTCAAAATCTGGAGGAGACCATCATGGTCGATGTGAGGCCACCTAAATATGAAGAGGTGATATGGGAAAAGATGAATCGAAATGCTTGCGGGGTGATCAGGTCCTGTTTGGAACAAGAACTGAAATATAATGTGATTGGGGTAACGTCTGCAATGAAAATGTGGGAGATTCTCAACAACAAGTATCTCACGAAGAGTGTTGAGAACAGGTTGTACTTGCTGCGAAGATTATTCAGATTTCAGATGTCCAGAGGCACCTCGCTTGCGGCTCATGTGAACAACTACACTAAGTTGTTGTCGGACTTGGCGAACGTGGATGAGAAGATCACAGATGAGTACAAGGCTATTATTCTTTTGGGCTCCTTACCGGATAAGGAGTATGATACCTTTGTGCTTACGTTGTTGAACGGGAGATCTTCTATCACTTATAGTAAAGTGACTAATGCATTGACGAACTATGATTTGAGGAGGAAGGATAAGGAGACTTCCCGCGCTAGTATTTCAGGAAAGGCCTTGTCGACGAGAGGTAGAAGCTCATATCAGAAAGGTGGAAATAGAGGGAGGTTAAAGTCAAGAGGTCGTCACCAGCTTGGAAAAAATCAATGTGCATTCTGTAAAGAGCAGGGACATTGGAAGAGAGACTGACCGAAAGTCAAAGAAAAGGAGAATAGCAAGAATAAGGGCCCGAAGGCTAATGAGGTGAATGTTGCGAAAGACGATGATTCCGATGATTCGAGCTTTTCTCTTTTGATTACTCCGGAGGTGAACCATTTGGATGCATCGGAGTGGATGCTTGATTCTGGCGCTACTTATCATGTGACTCCTAGGCGAGATTGGTTCTCATCATTTGAGAGACTCGACGGGGGTGTTGTTGTTATGGGAAATGATCAATCCCGTGGCGTTTGTGGGATAGGTACTGTGAGGATTCAGATGCACGATGGAGTAGTCCGTGAGTTGAAGGAGGTGAGATTTGTTCCTTAACTTAAGAAGAATCTTATCTTAGTTAGGGCTTTGGAGGCGAAGGGATTCAGGGTGACCTTTGAGGATGCTGTAGTGAAGGTTACTAAGGGATCTTTGGTGGTGATAAAGGGAGTCCGCAGTCATAATTTATACTATCTGAAAGGGAGCACCGAGATTGGCCAGGTTGCTTCGGCTATTTCAGAGGCGGACATGAGCAGACTTTGGCATTATAGGTTAGGGCACACAGGAGAGAAGTCACTGTAGGCTTTGTGCAAGCAGGGGCTATTGAAGGGAGCCAAGAGTGGAAAGACTGAGTTCTGTGAGTATTGTGTTCTTAGCAAGAAGACAAAAGTGAAGTTCGGGACGGCCATTCATAGGACGAGGGGCATCTTGGACTATGTGCACACAGATGTTTGGGGTCCCACCAAGACGGCATCACTTGGTGGTCGACATTGGTTCGTCACATTTGTTGATGACTATTCTAGGTATTGTTGGGTGTACACCATGAAGCATAAGAGTGAAGTCCTAGATTTGTTTGTGGAGTGGAAGAAGAGATTGGAACTGCAGACTGGGAGAAAGATTAAGACGTTACGATCCGACAACGGCGGCGAGTATACTTCAGACCCCTTTCAGCAGCTATGTCGAGACGAGGGCATAGAGAGACACTTCACAGTTAGTCATACACCGCAGCAAAATGGGGTGGCAGAGAGGTTGAATCGGTCTTTACTGGAGAAGATCCGATGCTTATTGTCGCAGAGTGGTTTGGAAAAGATCTTTTGGGCTGAGGCACTTACATATGCGAATCACCTCATTAATAGGCTGCCTTCATCTGCGATTGAGGGGAAGACCCCTATGGAGATGTGGTCGGGAGAGACAGCACATGACTATGACCAGCTTAAGGTATTTGGTTGCCCTGCATATTATCATGTTAAAACTGATAAGTTGGAACCTCGAGCTAGGAAGGTCATATTTGTAGGATTCAAACGTGGTGTCAAGGGATACAAGCTTTGGGATCCAGTTGATAAGAAGATTGTGCTGAGTAGGGACGTCACATTCGATGAGACTTCTATCTTGAAGCTTCCCAGCTCTCATCAGTTGGGGAGCGACCCGACAGAGGAGATATCGCAGGTGGTGGAGATTGATGCAGCTCCACAGAGTCCAGATAGTGCAGTATCCATTAGAGTGCCGACTGAGGTGACGCCAGGCGAGCACGACGGTGATGCGGAGGATACGGGTACTCATGAGTAGGATCAGGGACCGACGGCTCAGGTTGGATTCTATTGCGGCACGGAGACAGATGAGAGACATACGGGTGCCAGCACGGTATGCCGACACAGTTGCATATGCACTTCCGGTGGAGAGTATCGATGAGATGGTGCCTACTACATTCAGAGAGTCCGAGCAGAGTTCGGAGGCTGATTCGTGGCAGGTGGCTATGCAGGAGGAGATGGAGTCCCTTCATAAGAACGATACATGGGAGCTTGTTGAGCTTCCAAAAGGGCGGAAGGCGATTGGGTGCAAGTGGGTGTACACGAAGAAGGAGGGCATTGAGGGCACTCCAGTGAGATTCAAGGCTAGGTTAGTTGCGAAGGGCTATGCACAGGAGGAATGTATTGATTACAATGAGGTTTTCTCTCCGGTGGTGAAGCACTCTTCGATTCGGATTCTGCTAGCTTTGGTGGCACAGTATGGATTAGAGTTAGATCAGTTGGATGTGAAGACGACATTTCTTCATGGTGATCTTGATGAAGAAATATATATGACTCAGCCATTGAGATTTCGAGCTGCAGGGAAAGATAAGTTGGTTTGCAGGTTAAAAAAATCGTTATACGGTTTGAAGCAGTCTCCTCGACAGTGGTATAGGCGATTCAATGGTTTTATGCTTGGTCATTCGTACACTCGGAGCCAGTTTGATCATTGCGTGTATTTTCGCAAGTTGAGAGGAGGTGCGTACATTTATTTATTGCTTTATGTCGATGACATGTTGGTTGCCTCTAGTTCCAGGTCAGCTATAGATGAGTTGAAAGTTCAGCTTTCGAATGAGTTTGAGATGAAGGACTTGGGTGAGGCGAAGCGCATTTTAGGGATGGAGATCGGCAGAGACAAGAAGAAGGGCATGATTTGTTTGACACATGTGGCTTATTTGAAGAAGGTTCTACAGCGATTCCATGTTAGCATGGATACGAAGCTAGTTGGTGTACCGTTGGGAGCCTATTTGAAGCTTTCACCTGGCCTTTCACCGAAATCAGTTGAAGACCGTGAGTCGATGTCGAAGACTCCATATGAGAGCGCAGTTGGGAGCTTGATGTACGCAATGGTATGTACGAGGCCGGATTTGTCACAGGCAGTGAGCATGGTGTCGAGATACATGCACGATCCAGGAGTGGGTCATTGGGATGCCGTGAGATGGATTTTGAGGTATATTCTAGGTACGCTCAATATTGGTTTAGTTTATGAGCAGGACACTACAGGTGGGCAGCTATGCATTGGCTATGTTAATTCGGATTATGCCGGGGATTTGGATAAGCGCCGGTCTACGACGGGGTATGTGTTCACTTTGACCCATGCGCCGGTGTGTTGGAGATGCACCTTACAGTCTACGGTGGTTTTGTCTACGACGGAGGCAGAGTATATGGCAGTTACGGAGGCTGTGAATGAGACTATTTAGCTTCGAGGACTTTTGGAGGAACTTGGTATATCGCAGAGGTCCGTCACTATTCATTGTGATAGCATGAGTGCTATCTATTTGGCGAAGAATCAGGTTTTTCATGCGCAGACGAAGCACATTGATGTTCGTTATCACTTCGTTCGAGATGTTCTTGAAGATGGCGATGTGGAGATTGTGAAGGTCCACACGAAGGATAATCCGGCGGATATGCTCACAAATGTGGTTCCGAGCAACAAGTTTGATCATTGCAGAAACTTGTTGAATATTTGTGATTGTTGAGGCCGTTGGCGGCCATTTGGATGAACTACGGGCGGCTTGATCCCTTGGGAGAGGGGGTACGTAGGCAACCATGGTGGTGCAGCCGTATTTGGAGAGACGACACATTAATGCTCTTGGTTTGGTTTCGGCTCAGTTTTGGCAAAATTCGCCGAGGTGGAGAATTGTGGAGAAATCATAAAAACCAGATTTTCTGGCATAAGTCGACTCATGCACAAGGCTAAGTCGACTTATGGTAAGTCAACTTGTCAGTGGTGCACGAGTCGACTTACGATCTGCACTGGAGTTATGTTTTTTCGCTCTGCCAAGTCGACTTATCAGACCTGATAAGTCGACTTATGAAGTGGTCTCCAGTTGTTGTTTTTTCTCTCTGCCAAGTCGACTTGTGGTGACTGTTAAGTCGACTTACGACGGGTATTTTGCATAATCAGGTTTCCTGTTTGCACTCTGATTGGGTTTTTGTTTTGATATAAATAGGAAAATGATTTGTTAGGATTTTTTTAATTAGAGATTGAGGAATCTTTTGAGCATTATGAGAGGGAGATATTGTGAGCAAGATGAGATCTTTGGTTGAGGGTTAGTTTGAGAGTTTTGTGTGATTGTAACACTTTGTACTCTCCTTGAATTAGTGAAATCTCCCCATCCTCTCCCCGTAGACGTAGGCAAGTTGCCGAACCACGTATCTCTGTGTTTGGTTTGATTTGTCGTAATTGGCTTGATTGTGCAAGAGTGTGGCTTTCTTCTTCCGTGATCTCAAGTTCGTTGTGTATGCGTGCAACGCTTCCGCATAGGCGCGCGCATAGGCGCGCGACACCTCTGCAATCATTAATGTAGAGTATCTCTACCTCTTTCTCTGTAGAAACATTCTGCTTTGTTGATTCCATTTTATAGGGGCCCAAAGTTCCCTTGTGTTAAGCTATAAGCCGATAAGGTTGGATAAAAAACGCAATTGCCTTTTTGTGATGTCACTTATGTCTTCCAACTTTATGGATGCCCACTAAGGCCTAACTTTTAAATCCGTCACCTTTGAGCAACAGTTAGTCTGCTAACGCAATCATGTTATATAGTTCATACCTTAACATAATTGAGGCCATCAGTTGTAGGATCTTTACCTATTTCAAGGATTGTTCCAAACCTAATCATCATGAACATAATCATTTTCCCTACTATATATAAAGGGGTCAACTGTCTCTGTCTCTCACATCTTTATATGTCTCAATAGTATTTATTGTATGCCCTTCATTCCTCCATTCACTAAAATGTAATAATTGATGAAGCTCTTAGTAACTTTGACTGAGAGACATGGATGATCAATAGTAAATAAAGTTGTGAAGATAAGGTAAATGTAGGCAATAACTGGACCCCCACTAAAAATAAAAAAATAAATAAAAAGCTGAAAAAAAATTTGTAAGGAAAAAAAAAAGGAAAATTTGATAGTAGATTGAGATGTCACATGAGAATTATATGACAATAAATTATCAGTTGTGCTGAATGTAAGGGGTAAAAGATTAAACCACCATCAAAATTGAGTGAAAAAAGTAATTAATATTCCTATGGGGTTCAAGGGGTATAAATAAAGTAACATCACTATAGTGCATAACATGCATTTGTATGTATAACCGATAAGCTTATAGTTTTTATGTTTCATACAGGAATTCTCGTCACAATTCCTTATAAAACTTAAACTACACGGTTTATTTCTAGTTGTCTGATGGAACCTGATTGAAACTATTATCAGCACTAATTTTCACATTATATATGGAGATCATTGCGAGATTAGTTATTGGGTTTAAGACAAATCTGGCTATTTATGAAAATCTTATGTGATTTTATTTGCCAACAAGATTTATTTGACTAAAATAGGTTATGGCATATAACCATTTTACCCATAAATACTGTTCATTAAGGAGGAAGACCAATTGGCGATCCATGTAGTCCTATTGTAAAATCTTCCAGATCACTTGCTTAAAGGAAAGTCTTTGATTTTCTTTTCATTTTTTCATTTTCCAAATAAACACATGAAATATAAGTTTTCACATTTATAATATTTTTATGACAAACAATACATAAAATACATATTATTATTCTTTTTTAGTGAATAAGGCATATAGTACATGCAGTTTAACTAGTGTTGAGTATAATATAATTAACGAAGAGTAATAAGTAAATAGTCATTGCTAGGGATAAAAAGTCAATCAAATAAAATAAGATGTTATCCATTCTGTATAAACTAGTATTCTACACGTGCAAATCATGAATGACTCATTACCAATACAGTTGAATTTTAACCTCCGAATATCTATTTCCCAAAAGGCATGGGCATATATATCGCAGAAAATTAAGGCTAATAATCACTATTTCCTTCTTCAAACTTCAGAGGTCTCTTTCCGAACATATTGCCGCTAATGTAGCTAGGTACTCTCTTTTATGGACAGGAGCTCAAGAGGATAGGTTGGCTAGAAGGATTCGTAGAGCATGAACAAATCTGAAGTTTGAAGAGCTCGCTAGGAAACAAGCAACTGATGCCGTGGGAGAGAATTTTTCTTCAAATTAGCACCATCATTTTAGTCTGTCTTTTGCTGGTCCTTTTGGTTGGCAGTTCATCTCATGGGATAATACCATATAAGTTTCTTTTGGTTCCTCTTTTTTTTTGTCTTTTCTAGAGTTAGATCAGCTTAGTTTTTTACTTCTATCGTGGTATTGTCGGGTAGGCGATGATAATGCTATCTCATCGTGTTTCCTTGTAATTATTCTATATACCTTGATCTTGTCTTTTGCGCGTATCAAGGCCTCCGTGTTAGCTTGACTCGGTCATGGTGACCAAATCAACGATTCTCAGTAGAGAGAATTGTGGATCGTGGAAGGGTTGTTGAGAGAAAATCTCTCATTGGGACGGATCTTGGGGGGTGGAATTAGTGGGTTCAGCCCCTATAAATGGAGGAGTAATTCTCCTTGAGAAATCACAACGAAGAAGGTGAAAAATCTCTTACCCATTAGCAGAACCCCCCTCAATATCTGTTCTTCCTTCTTCTCTGTTTTCAAACACTGGTATCAGAGCACGTCGATCTCATCGTCGCCCCCTTCGAGCTCTGCGTCAATCGGCCACCTCGACGACTCTGCTGCGACGATCGATCGACGACGACGACGACAAATCCGCGCCGATCTCAACGCAGTTGTCTCCATCCTCGGCGATTAAGAGAGAGACATCAGCCACCCGTTGAAATTTTACGGCGTAACCCTAGCTCCCAGCTCGAGATCATTTTTTACTGGTGAGGCACTCGTTTTCTCAAGAGCCAAGTTACAAAGCCAGGCCCAATTCCCCACAACCAGCAAAGCCCATCCACTTTATTCGTTTAATCAAAGCCAAACCATTTCTTTTTTATTAAATCATAGCCAGGCTCATGTTCACTTAACAAATCTTTACAAAGCCCTTTTTTCCTATATCACACCTTCTTCGAAACCAGCAGACCCTTTTTTTTAAAAAAAATATCACTTTAGTCCTTTACAATTCAATATTCTGTTTTCAATCTTTTTGGGTTGTTCGAACAATTCTTCGCAATTTCTATTCGGTGTAACTCCACAACAGCAGCAGATTATCTCCAACTCCAGTCAGAAACGACGCCAAAACTTTGACAAGAGATTCTTCGGTCAACACCGCTAAGCGACAATCTGGCTCAAATTGGAGCCTCTTTCATCAACTCGGAAAAATCAGGTTCATTTTTATTTTATTTATTTATTTATTTTTAACTTTATTATTATTTAGTATTATTGTCAAAAATATCAACCTTATACAAATATTTAAAATTGAATTTAGTTTTAGTTCTTTACCGAATGAGTAGTAAACTCGTTCTATCAGAACTAGGCAAAATTGACAAATTTAATGGCAGTAATTTTGATATATGGCATAGAAAAATAGGGTATGCTCTTATTCATGACAATATTGATGATATAATCGAAACCACTGCTCCAACCCTTACTGATAAATCTACACCTGAAGAAAAGAAAGGGTTTGAACAGTGGGTCGAAAGATAAAAAGGCGAAAAGTCTTATGATCATGTTCATGGAAGATAACTTAATCAAAGTTTTTGAAACTTATAAGACTTCCATGGACATGTGGAATGATGGAAGATAACTTAATCAAAGTTTTTGAAACTTATAAGACTTCCATGGACATGTGGAATGCAATAAAAAAAATACGACACTGCTTCTGAAGTTAACATTCAACTCCTCTTGCATAAGTATAATTATTGTCGTATGCAAGAGGGAGACAATGTCGTAGAGCATATAAATAAAATGATTGTCATGGCTAAGGACTTATCCAATACTGGGACCGAAATCCCGGAAAGAATGCAAGTGGCAACCATTTTGAATAGTCTTCCCCCTTCACTTGCTGTGGCTGCCACCACATTAAGAATGAATCCTGCAATTAAGTCTGTCACTGATCTTCCTATGCACCTAGCGATAGAACAAGACTTAATAGCCAGTAGGAAGGAACCAGAACTGAATATGGTGCAGCAAGAGCTGAATTATGTCCACCAGAGGCATAATGCTGAAAGCTATAAAAACCCTGGTCCTAGTAAACCACAACCACGAGGACCGAAATCGCAACAGTTCAAGAGAAAGAAAGTACCCCGCGGAGCCTGCTACAATTGTGGAAAGTTCGGGCATTTCAAACTCAATTGCCCACAAGGTGAAAAGCAGGAGATTAAAGGAGGCTATAAGCATCTAGAATAAGGGGGTACTAGCAAAAGAGAATTCGTCAGTGTGACGAAATGTAATGCTGTGATTAGTGGTTGGTGGATCGACTCCGATGCGACTAGGCATATCGCAAAGGACAAGAATGGATTCGTAGAATTCACCGAGCTGAAGAAGCGAGAACAGAGAATCTATATGAGAAATAATACATATCTCGATGTAGAAGGTATTGGTTCGTATAGATTGGATCTTGGGGACAGCATTCTTGTCCTCAAAGATGTGTTCTATGCGCCAGGAATTAGACGCAATCTAATCTCTGTTCCCAGCTTGATGAAGAAAGGACTGGAAGTGAGGTTCTATAATAACAAGGTTTCTATAGGCAAGAATAATAAAGTGTATGCTATGGGTAAATATGTGCCCGAACATGAATTATGCATTCTTCCAGTAGTTTGTAATAATTCTGATAATAAAATTTCGAATTTGAACTACTTGTCTTGTTATATTTCCGAATCTGAATTGTGGCATTCTAGACTAGGACATGCTAGTATTTCAAAAATAAAAGATATTATCAGAATGAACTTGCTTCCTGCACTATTTAATGTTCAATTGCCACCATGTGAACATTGTTTAACTGGTAAAATGACTAGAAAACCTTTTGTTGGCTGACATAGAGCCAATGAACTTTTAGGGTTGATACACTCGGATATTTGTGGTCCCCTAAGTGTCAAAACTCATAGTAATAAAGAATATTTTATTACTTTTATAGATGATTATTCCAAGTTTGCACACGTCTATCTTATATCCAGAAAATTAGAAGCTTTTGACTGCTTTAAGAGATATAAGACAGAAGTTGAAAACCAACTTGAAATAAAAATCAAAATTTTGAGAACTGATAGAGGTGGAGAATATAATTCTAAAGAATTTGAAAGTTATTGTATTCAGCATGGAATTAAAAGGAATACAACAATTCCGTATACGCCACAACAGAATGGTGTTGCTGAAAGAAAAAAACAGAACATTATTAAATGTAGTTAGATACATATTGTCTCATTCTGGTCTCTCTAAAAACTTTTGGGGAGAAGCATTGTTAACTGCAAACTACATTTTAAATAGAATTCCCATCAAATCAGTTGTATCTACACCTTATGAATTATGGAATGGGAGGAAACCTAATTTGAGTCATCTCAGGAAATGGGGATCTATAGCCCATGTTCTCATTCCATGTCGAGATAAGTTAGATTTTAAAACAATAAAGTGTAGATTCATAGGGTATTCAGAAAAGTCAAAAGGTTATAAGTTCTATAATAAAGAAAAAGGATTCATTGAAAGCAGAGATGCTACATTTCTAGAGAATCTAGAGGAAAAGGAACAAGTTCAAGAGGAAATAGAACCTCTAACTGTAATAGATGATGATTATTATAGTGTTGTTCCCACTAATGACTCTGATATTATGAATGAACCTAACCTTGAAAATACTGAAATACCTATGGAAAATAATGTACCTAATCAACCGGTTATAGGCAACAAAAGGCCAAGAACATAACCTTCATGAATGGATGATTACTATTTGTATTCATGTGAGTCATCCTGTTTTTCGGTAGATACAAATATAGAAGAACAACATCCCTTAACCTTTTCTGATGCGATAAAATCGCATGAATCAGCTTCATGGCTAGAATCTATGAGAGAAGAACTTGATTCCATAGAAAAGAATAAGGTATGAGAGTTATGTGATCTACCAAAAAAATAGAAAAGCCATAGGATGCAAATGGGTGCTCAAAAAGAAATATCGTGTTGATGGATCTATTGATAAATTCAAAGCACGGTTAGTTGCCAAATATTATAACCAGAAGGCAGGAATAGATTTTCAGGAGACGTATTTTCCTGTAGCTTAATTTGCATCCATTAGAATTATTTTGGCTATTGTTGCATATCTTGATTTGGAGTTATTCCAAATGGATGTTAAAACTGCATTCCTTAACGGAGAGTTGAAGGAAGCAATATATATGCAACAACCTGAAGGTTTTCAGGTGAAAGAACAGGAACATAAAGTTTACAAATTAATGAAATCTCTATATGGTTTAAAACAGTCTTCTAGACAATGGTATCTCAAATTTCATGATGCAGTTACTAAACTTGGTTTTATTCAAAATAAATTAGATAATTGTGTATATGTCTTGAAAAGTGGGAGCAAGTTTACTATATTATCATTATATGTGGATGATATATTGCTCGCTGAAAATAACATAAAAATATTGAATAAAATCAAGGCAGATCTCAGCGAAAAGTTTGAGATGAAAGACATGGGAGATGCATCATATATTCTTGGAATTCAAATAATTCGAGATAGAAAGTCTAGAATGCTAAGTTTAAACCAAGAAAAATATTTAAGATCAGTTCTTAAAAGGTTTGGAATGGAAAATTCCAATTCGGCACCAACTCCGTTGGTTATGGGAAAGAGATTATGTAAAGAGCAAAGCCCTGGAGAGGGGCAGAAGCCATTAGATGTTCCTTATGCTCAAGCAATTGGAAGATTGATGTATGTAATGTTGTGCACCAGAGCTGATATAGCTTATGTTGTGAGTCTAGTCAGTAGATATCAAAGTAATCCAGGACCAGCACATTGGGAAGCTGTTAAAAGGATTATGAAGTATATCAGAGGTACATTGACTCATAGATTAGTTTATCAAGCTGATTTGCTTGAACTCCTCGTTTATTCCGATGTTGATTTTGGAGGTGATAAAGATGATGGAAAGTCCACTTCGGGACACTTATTTATCTTTGGAGGAGGAGCTGTTTCTTGGAGTAGCAAGAAACAAGGGTGTGTTGCTAGATATACGCAAGAATCTGAATATATAGCTTGCAGTATGGCAACTACACATGCTGTCTGGATAAGACGGTTTTTGATTGATCTTGATCTTAATTTGTTAGAAGGACCTATTGATATTTATTATGATAATCAAGCAGCAATTAGCTTAATCAATAGTGGCGCGAATAGCTCCAAAGGAAAACATATTGAGATCCAGTATCACTACATTCGATATATTGTAGAAAAGGGAGAAGTCAAAGTGACTTATATCCCTACTACAGATATGATTGATGATCCTTTGACAAAAGGAATACCAGCGAAATCTTTTATCAAACATGTAAGTTTGATGGGACTTAGGAATAAATAAGTCCAAGTAAAATTTCATGAATAATAAAATAAGAGTTACTCTCTACGGATAGTGGGAGTAATGGTAAGCAGAAACATCCGATCTCACGGATAGTGGGAGGCATGTCACTTGGTTAATTTGGTCAAGTGGGAGATGTTAGCTTGACTCGGTCATGGTGACCAAATCAACGATTCTCAGTAGAGAGAATTGTGGATCGTGGAAGGGTTGTTGAGAGAAAATCTCTTATTTGGGCGGATCTTGGGGGTGGAGTTAGTGGGTTCAGCCCCTATAAATGGAGGAGTAATTCTCCTTGAGAAATCACAACGAAGAAGGTGAAAAACCTCTTACCCATTAGCGGAACCCCCCTCAAAATTCGTTCTTTCCTTCTTCTCTGTTTTCAAACTTCTCTATATATATA